GTAGAATATTCCATACAAGAAACATGAACATTGTCACGATTGACCTACATGGTTAAGTTAAAAGTAAAACAACGTCTAATCATTGGTGCTTTCTGAATATTTCTTACATTTAAATGTTGTGGTTAATAAATTAATAATTATATAACTTAATAAAAAAGATCTAATACTCAAAAATTAAATATTTTGATGTTATAACGTCTTACACTTTGAATTATTGCAGGATACCACTGCATATTATATTCAATAGCAACCCAATCACCAATTTGAAAATCAGCTGCTAACTCCTTTGCTATGAGCTGAATATCGTTGTTTAAATCATCATCTTTATTTTGACTTGTATGTCTCGCATCATCAGTCAGATCAATCATGTCATCAGTTAGATTAGCATCTTCACAAAAAATGGTAACTAGCTTTCCTTCTCTTTTTTGTTTACTCCATCTAAAAAAATGTACTTGAAGCATGAAGGTAAATTCAAAATATTTATCTTAAAACTCAAGAAAAGAATAAAATTAAATTTTATATCATTCATACTTTGGGTATCAGTAAATATAGAAGTAAATTTACTCGCCTAGAGAATAATGATCGAATTTGTTGAGTTGTCACATATTCACTTGGCTTTAACTTTGTCCTCAGCTGCTGGTGAACCTGCTCTGGGCTCATTTTTTTCCCTTGTTCTTCTCCAGACATAAACATCTGCATTAACAATGTTTTCTGCTTTGAAGAATATCTGAACACTTTTCTTTTTGGTAATGCCCACCCAGTGATGTCTGTGAAGTTTTCAATCCCTTTAATGACAGATTGGGATGACGGCAGATAATCATAAGAATTTAGGTTTGAAATTTTCATTTTGTTGATATAAGATAGTTTTGCTCTGTCTACCATTGATTTCACAGATTGAAAATTGTGGTTTTCTGATAACAAGTGTACTTCTAATGATTCATTGTCAAAAAATGAATCAGTGCAACCAAATTGTGTACAAAACTTTAAAGTGTTAACTCTTCTATCAACACGTGGTTTTTTGGAAATTGTTGGGGCAGTATAAATTTTGCAAGTCGAACTAAAGGGCTTAACAATTTCAACTGAAGTATGGAATGTCACATTTGTATAGTTCCATTTTTTACCTTTACCAATTCGGAAGTATCTCCACATTATCATGTGATCAGGGAAAAACTGAAAAGAATGATAACTGCTTATGTTGGGAATCAGATTTGATCCTGATAAAATAGAGGCTTTGGAATTTATTATAACTACAGCAACATCAGCGTTTTGAATTCCTTTACCATTATGAAGAGCCTCATAAAGATCTTCTGCAGTCAATAAATTGTTTCCTGCGTCAACAAAACTCCTAATGACACATTTCGCTCCTGCTGACTCTCTATCACATTGATCTTTTCCACGCGAAGGCTCGTTGTAATCATACCTTTTAAGGAAAAATTGTTTTGCTTTGCAAACATTGTAAAGGGCTTCTAAGTAGAAGTTTCCATGATAAGATGATGCATTATCTGACTTAGCATAAAGATTCTTTAAATAAGGAAAATCATTTTTAACTTTGGCCAAAACAACATCAGCGAGACAGAGTACATCAACAAGGCTTTGCTCACATCTATATACAGCAGTAAAATACACTTTTTTTTTCATTCGACCATTTTCATAGAAGAAGAAGACATCAACATGTAGAGTCATTCCTTTTTTCCCAAAATATTCTTTTTGGCCTTCACGGAATTTAGCGGGCAATATTTTTTGACAAAAATCCTTTAGCCAAAATCCTGTTTCCTCATCAAGTTGCTCAAAAGCCATTATTTTGGCCATTTTTTGCTGCGCATCACGAATTTGATGTTTCATATAGGCTTCAACATCTTCTGTAGCCACATTTAAATCATATAGTAGATCTTCATCTTCACTTTGTATAACCAACTCACGAACCTGATTGATTACTGAAATGAGGTCAGTACAGTCAATGCATTGTTCATCGTCAGCGGTTATGTTTGATTGGTTTAAGTCCGGATCTATATCCGAAAGGGCAAATGAAGTTGAGTGACTATGCAAAGTTGAATTTTCACTACATTTGGAAGGATAATTACTCTTCAGATACCTTTTACCTTTTTCAAGAAACTTAGTAACATTTTTATATTTCCACTTCTCAGAAATGGCAATTAATGTTTGGAAACCGTTCATGCCAGCTGCTGTAACATCATCAAGACCAGCTAAAGATTTCCTTTGAGAAGGTTTTATTCCACAAAGAATTCTCCATAAAGAACTATCTGACATAGGGACATAATTAGTTTCTAGGCAAATTTCTTTATAAAATGTGATTGTATGGCTAAACTTCATCATCAAAATGGCATTAGCCACTTTTTGTTTCTCTCCGTTGTCAAACTTTATTTTATTTATACCATATGCTACATCTTGAAGCAGACCTCGAGAAAATAAAAATTCCAAAAAATGTTCAATTTTTTCTTGAGGCATTCGGCATATTTTTACCTTACCCTTCTTTGGTATGGAAAGTCCAATGTTTTCTTTCTGCAACTTGCGTCCTTTTTCTATTTGATGTTTTTTGCAATCAAAGACTTTCATTAATGTCTCTTTAGTGTACTTATTATGATTAACAACTGAAAGCAAAAGAATTTTTCCTAAAGAATCGCTTTCTTGGAACATCTTAACTTGTACAATTAGGTCTTCTGGAACCATTTCAGTTGCAACATTTTCATCTTCACTGTTTAATACTTGGTTTATAAGTGCTTCTGATTGACCAGGTGCAATTGCTTCAGCAAATATCTTCTCGAGCTGCACTTTACATTTCTCAAATTTTTTTTTAACTTTCTGTTTAGTTCCTTGTGTTAAGTCTTCTATTCGCTTTTGCGTTATGTGAAAAGACAGTGGACTTGCTCCTAGTGCTTCACACAAAGAACTAGCTTTTAATTTTGATTCTTCGATGGTCTTATCTGAAATGATTGCTAAATCTGGAACATAAACTTTATCAACATAAGAACTAGACTTTACTGTTGGAATTGGTTCTATCATGTCAATAATATTATCTATAGAAATAGTTTTTAGGTGCTTGAAGCAAAATACGGCTCCAATAGGTAGCGATGAATTACTTTTATTATAAGTAGCAAGGGTATTCAAAGGTATGGATCTAATTTTTGGTGCTTTTTTACCAACTTGAAATATATGACTTGGGTATTGACATCTGTTTGGCGGCTTCCATCCAATACCAAAAGAAAAACGGTGGTATGCACATAACCAGTCGTCGCATGAAAGATAAGTTTGTAATCGACTTTCAATTAGAGTTTTTTCATTATACTGGTTTGTCTGCGGTAACTATAAAATAGTAATGTTAAATTTGTCATCTATTTGTTGGAGGTATTGTTGCTTATAATTAAAAATATATATATTAATTGATAAATTATACCTTTAGTACTTGTAAATGATTACTTATGTCAGCAGTTAATTCATTAATTTGAAAGATCCCATGTTGTTTCCAACGCTTAAAAGGGCCACAAGAAGTCTGTCCTTTATCAAAATACACGCATTTTTCATAGAGACTGACTATATTGTTGCTCTCTGACATTTTGTATTTAACTTTTATTTTTTATTTTATTATTTTTTATTGAATAAACAAAAGATAACAAAACAAAAAAACTTTATTTCGTAGTTTCTCATCTCATGCTATGGCTATTTATTAAATTCATGTGCTAATTCTTCGAGAAGAATGTGTCTCCAAGGAAATAGTCTTGCAATCATTAATAATTGTCTAAAGAAAGTATTACAAATGACTGCCCAAAGGGAATTGCTTGTGTAGCAATCATTACAGTCATTAAAAAAAGTATCTTTAATGTCACTTCTTTACTTTGGTTATTACACTTTTGCCATCGCATTCTTTGAACCTATTGTTGCGCATTTTGTTACATTAAAAAAGCTTAAAAAATAATTTTTATCAAGCACTTTTGTACAGTTTATACAGTTTTGTTATAAAAATGTATTTTTTATATATTTTTAATTTGAGTACTAACTATTAAAGAGTAAAAGTAGCCGTTGCTAAGCATATCTATGTCGTTGCTAGGGTATTTTGTTGGTTAAGAATATGGCAAAATTAGACTATTTCTAGGACTTCTCTAGGCTTTTTATCGCTTGAGCACATGGATTTTTTTTCAGATATTGGAAGATGCATGTATAAGGTAACAAAATAACTTATACGTTTCATGGCAGACCTAAGGCCACGATTGTTATTTGTAATCTAACAAAGCGTATTAACCGCGAAAATTCATTTTTGGAAGCTTACTCTTTCCCAGGCTCTTGCATACTCATAATTTTTTTTCTATAAATTCAATGTATACCTTATTGGCTTTCAAAAACAGTTAAGTAAATTATGTGCAAGTAATGGCCTTAGGAGATATAAATGGTCAAAGTACGGGTAAAATTTCAAATTTAGCGGTTTTGAACCGTGATTTCTAGACAACAAAAAGTGTAAACATTTTGAATTTTTATTTTAAGCAGAGAAATCCAGCTAGAGTAATAGAAAAAAGAAAAAGAAATGTGTTTCTCAAGTTCATATTGCTAAAATTGTCCCTAAAAGTAGTAATTCCATTTCATGCACCAATATTTTTACAAAATGGGCCAAATTTCGACCCCCGATATCTCCGCAAATAATGGGAGTTTTCGAAAAAAAATTTAACTGTGGCCTAATTTTATTGTGTTTTATAAGATATCTGAAAATAAAGAGATTTTAAAGACATCACTTCCAGACTTTGCCTATCTTTCTCAGATAATGGCTCTTAATCAATTACTTGAATTTTAAAGGCATTTTTATAACTACTTTTTAGCAAAAACTTTTTTAGAAAAAATTATTTTTATAACTATTTTTTAGCAAAAACTTTTTTGAAAAAAATTACATTTGAGCAGGTTTTGTTATTTTACATTGTTTAATATGTTTTGATTTAAAGACTATATTGGTTAAATGCATCACAAATATACAACTATATATGAATATACAAAAATACTTTGATTGACTTTAACTCTTCATCACTAAAGTACTTTGTAGATTTTGCCTTGTTCCACAAGTCAACTACCCTCTTGTCAATTATAGATGCCTCATTCATGTTAACCTTTAAATTAAAATATTTGCATTAATTATGGTGGTTAAGAATTCACAAATAGAATGGGTTAAATTGTATTGTGATATCAAATACCTTTTTTTTAACTTGCTGAATACGAATGGCAATATCATCATGTTCTTCTTTTAACTTGATTCGCAGCTCAGTCAATCTTTTGCTGTGTTTAGCCGCTTCATCCTTATAACTTGGGCTTTTTATATCACTTTGAACAGTTTTTTCTGCCTTAGTTAAATGTTTTTGATAGTTGTTTATTGCATCTTGTAAATACATCAGCTCTTTGTACAATGAATGAAGCTCATTATCATTAAACTCTGCTAAAAAAAATTAATCTAACTTTAATAAACATTGTATATATACATACATATATGTATATACATATGTATGTATGTATATTGATATTTAAGGCTGCTTTGTATTATAATAATAAAACAAAACTCATAATGGTAAAAGAGTGCTCAATAGTAAAAAGATATTTCAAATAGAGCGATGTACTAATATATATATATATATATATATATATATATATATATATATATATATATATATATATATATATATATATATATATATATATATATATATATATATATATATATATATATATATATATATATATATATATATATATATATAATTTTTATATATATATATATATATATATATATTTGCCCACACTCCCCTAAAACGGTTTACAGGAGCAATTTACAGTTCTTACAAAAGTATAATTTTTTCTCTCAAAAGTATAATTATCATTATAACTAAAATGAAAAACTGAGTCATTTTTATAAAAATTAATTGCATAATAAGCTGTAATGCTTTTTAAACACAGCTGTTTCAGAGTGAGCTTTACGGCTTCTTGTTTTTTTTTTTTGAAATTTTGACTTAGGGGGTGTTACTAAAACATTTATAACTTTTGAAATATTAGAAACGATTTTGTTTTGTAAAAGGAATAAAAACAACAATAAAATGTTTTATCATATGACATTTAATACAATAGTAAAAAACCTCTTTTAGTTTATAAAAAGCACGACAAATGATGAACTTGGTTAAATTTTAGTAATTTGCTGTTAAAAAAAAAAAAAATCAGAAAAATATATTTCTGATAGTTATTATCAAATACACTCATTGTTTAACTATTATTAAAACAAAAAAATCTTACTTAATTGTTAAAAGTAAACTGAAACAGTCTTTATTAAAGTCTGCAAGCAAACCGCATTTTTTGCAAAATTATGAAAATTGTTGTTAAAGTGGGGATAAGCTGTTAAATGAGCACGTTTTTAAATCTAGAAGTTCTTGTTTTAGAAAATAATTCACTAAGTTGATAAATTCAATGCATTATAAAATAAAACCAGATCTCAATTTTGAAATATTTAGTCTTAACATTTTAAGCTAAAGCCTTTAATTAACTTAAGCAATTCTTTTTTATGCATACAGTTTTAATAATATGGTGTTAGGTTGTTAATAAATAAAGACTCAAATAAAATAATTCATGACCAAAACTAAGTTAAAGTTTTTGAATTAACCTCGCTTTTGGTAATAGAATTATTTATAATACTTGAATCAATTTTTTCTCACAAAAAATAAAACGTTTCTTTAAATATACAAATAGCTAATTTAAATTGTTTGATAATGTGTTTTTATTCTCATAAAAATTTTATAATGAGTTGATCCAATAATCAGTTCTTTAAGTAGAAAACGATCTTTGAACATCCAGTTGATATTAGATTTATGCACCATTTTAAAGAAAAAACCGCACAACATTGTTTATTTTATACTTCAAAATTCATCTCGCTAAGAAAGTTTTTGTTAAATATACGTTTTTGTTTTGTTTCTACTTTTGTTTGTTGCTTGACAAATTATATTAGCGGATTACGTATTTTGTTATGATATTTTATTGAAATTTTTATTTTGTATGTCATATTATGATTATCTATTTAAATCTTGTTGTTCTATAAAAAGATTGCGATGATGTTCTGTCATCCTCACCTTTTATGAGCCCCTATCTGTTTTACTTATTTTGTTAAATTTTATATTATGTAGTGGAATTTGTAAAATTCTTATGTTATGTAAACAGAGAAAGAAAAAAAAAAAAGGAAAAAAAAGTTGTTTTCATAAAATGTATTACATATTTGCTTGGGACATACAGAATTTAAGGTCATATGATTGTTTCGAAATGTAAACAATGTTTTGCGCATTAAACTAGAAAAATTTGTTTCTAAACTAGTTAAGTTTGAAAACATATTTCATAACATAGCTAGAAGTACAGCAAACAATTTTTTGATTTTTATTTGCAGAAAGGGTTGAAGTTTCAATAATTTGGTGCGGGTTACAAAAATAATACGATTTTCATTATTTAATAATAAAATTAAAAATAAAAATGCATTAAAAAATAGTTAAAAAATAAAAAATAAGCAATCCGCACCAAAAATTAGATAGAATAGACATTTATTTATAAATGTTCCAAATTTCAACCATGAGGCATGTAGCTATGTTTTGAAATCTTAGTTAACCCAAGACAGGTTTTCCACAAAAACTACAAAAAACAGAAAAGTGATCCCTAATCTTTAGCAATATTTAAACATTAATATTTTTATTCCGTTCAATGTAAATATTTATTTTAAAAAAAAAAGATAGGTCTTTTATAATTTTTTTATTTGAAGATGAAAGCGCTTATAGGAAAAAAAACACTATTATTTTAAAGTTAATGCATTTTTAAACTTTTTTTGCGGAAATACTTTTTTTTTTTTGATAAACACAAAAAAAACTGTGACATCAAGCTCGCTTTTATACTGAGTAAAACAGCCGTGTAAAATTCACGGTTGTTGCAAAAATGAAAAAATTAAAAAAGAGCGCCGATTTAAATGCAAATATTTTTGATTAGATTGGACTAACCACGGCTGTTACACTCAATATAAAAGCGAACTTAAAAAAAAAAGTATTTCCACATAAAAAGTATAAAAATTCACCAACTTTGAAATGATTTTATTTTTTTTCTATTAACACTTTCATCTTCAAATAAAAAAAATATAAAAGAACTATCTTTCTTCGTTAAATAAATATTTACATTAGGCGAAATAAAAACAAACATTGTTAAAATATATCAAATGATTTAGGATCACTTTTGTGTTTTTGGCAATTTTTACGGAAAACCTGTCTTGGGCCAACCAAGATTTGCTAACATAGCTACATGGTTGATGGTTGAAATTTGGAACAATTTCAACCATCAACAAAATAGTAAAAGTTAGTTTTTAATGCATTTATATTTTAGTTTTTATGACTTTTATATGCAAAATGTGATTTTTTTGTAAGGATAACCAAATTAACAAATTTTCAATCCTTTATGCATTTGAAAATCCAAAAATTGTTATTTGTATCTCTAGCTATGTTACCAAATATGTTTTCAAACTTAGCATGTTTAGCTACATATTTTTCTATTTTTTTATGTTAATGTATGTTTACGATAAAGCAGCCTTGAATGAATTATGTCCCAAGCTATTAGTAAAAGGATTTGATGAAAACATCTGTTTTAGCGAGACAAAATTGAAGTATAAATAAAAAAAGTTACGCTGAATTTTTCTCGTGGCTAATCAAACTAATATCAGATAAGTTGTTTAATCTTCTTATATCAGGTGCATATATTTGTCAATAAATATTTGTTTTTTTATGTTATTATATTATTATATTTTTTTATTACAACTTTAATTTATATTTAATAAATATGTATTCTACTGAGAGAGAAATTTAAAATTACACATTGGATGGGAAGATGGTTGGGAAAATGAATGTAACTTTCCTTTTGTTAAGAGATTAATTGACACTGATAAAATCACTAACAATGTGATTTCGATTTTATTAACAGTCTTTAAACTAATAAAAGAATTATTTTTTTGTTATGAGCTTTATTTTGCCAGTTGATTTTAATTTGCCTTGTATTGATGAGTTCAATAAAATGTGCAAAAAATTAATACAGAAAAAAAATAAACTTAATAAATCTTTTAAAGCTTCAAAAAACAAAGCATTTTTTAAAATGCAACTATCTCCAGCTCCACAAACAAAACAAAAAAAAAATCAGCAGATGCAGATTATTTTTCAATTTTAAATAGGAATAAGGAACGAAGTAGTCAAGTTGACCAATTAACTTCTAAAGAAGAAACTAATGTGGAGCAAATAGATAGACTAAAAATGCAGGTACTAAAGTTGGAAACTGAAATTGCAGATTTGAATTCTAAAAACTAGGCTTTCGACACACATTGTAACTCATTAAGTTCTCAATTAGCGGCAATGAATATTAGGCTAAAACAAGAGGAGCAGTTCCAACTCATTTCAAACAAATTTGCTTCTGCTCGTGCAAAAAATGTAAGATTGCTCAAAAAAATTAAATTTGAAAAAAATAATGCAAAAGTTAGTATTATAAAACAGAGTAGTTGCCAAATTTGCAAACGTTTTTTAGCGGTGATAAGGATTTAGTTGTTGTTGATTCTTATTTAGACTACGACAACATTGGATCTTCAGAATTGTTCTGTGGATTTAAATTAAGTAATCCACAGACTATATCTGTAAAAAGGCCAATAGTTGGGAAAAAATATACTTACATTAAGTTAGGACATGGTAAACCTTATTTTCTAAGTTAGGTAGGCATGCTGCAGCTAGACAATCTAAACTTGCTTTTATATTCCTTCAATTATTAGCTTGTTCAGATTTAGAATGTGATTTGTCTATGTTATTTTGTGATTTTATGTCTTGTGAAAAGTCAGTATTTCCTTGTGTTGCGAATAAGTTAGGTTTAGTTACTCAGTGTTTCTGATGCAATAGAGCTGCAGAGCCAATTAAGGATCCCCACAGCTGAATTCCGTAGACTAAGACGTATTCTGTGTAATCTTGGTGCAAGGATTCTCACATCTGAGCCTAAGATAAGACAAGAACAAGAAATGCAGACAATGCATGTCAATAAAGAACATGTCACTGTGAAGTCCATGTTACTTTATCCATATGCGAATGAAGCACCTTGTTTAGTATCTGAATTTGACAACTTATATTGAAGAGGTTTTTAATAGTCTTCACATACGCGACCACCTTTCGGTGGTCGCGTATGTCTTTTAGTTCGGATGTTGGTTTTGGCAAAGAGGTATGGCTCCTTTTTGCTGGGGATAAGGGTGGAAAGTATATAAAATTCCATTTTTAAGTTGTCAATTCTAAATCGTCAGGGTCTAAATATAATGTTCATTTGTTTTGTATGTATCAGGGTTCAGACTGTCGTGAGAATATTGCCTTAATTCTCGGGCATTATGCCAACGACATTAAAAGAATTCAGTCG